CTAGGATAGGACACTTGTGTATAACTTGTGTATAACCTAGAATAGGACACCTGTGTATAACATAGTTGTGTATAACCTAGGGGAGGACACTTGTGTATAAACAGGACACTTGTGTATAACATAGGGATAGGACACTTGTGTATACCCTAGGGCAGGACACTTATTTATAACCTAGGGGTAGGGCAGTTGTGTATAACCTAGGGCCAAACACTTGTGTATAATCTAGGATAGGACACTTGTGTATACACTTGTGTATAACCTCTACCCTTTGTTATACACAAGGGTCCTCTAGGTTATACACAAGTTATACACAAGTGTCCCGCCCTAGGTTATACACACGTGTCATGCCTTAGGTTATGCAAAAGTGTCCTGCCTTAGGTCATACACAAGTGTCATGCTTTAGGTTATACAAAAGTGTATAACCTAGGGGTAGTACACTTGTGTATAACTAACCTAGGGGTAGGACCCTTGTGTATAGCCTAGAGGACACTTGTGTATAATCTAGGGGCAGGACACTTGCGTATAACCTAGGGTAGGGCACTTGTGTATAACCTAGTGCAGGACACTTGTGTATGTCCTAGCGTAGGACACTTGTGTATCACCTAGGGGAGGACACTTTTGTATAACCTAAAGCATGACACTTGTGTATACCCTAGGGGTAGGACACTTGGGTATAACCTAGGGGGAGGGCACTTGTGTATAACCTAGGAGTAGGGCACTTGTGTATAACCTAGAATAGGACACCTGTGTATAACCTAGGGGCAGGACGCTTGTGTATAACCAAGGGCAGGACACCTGTGTATAACCGAGAGGACACTTGTGTATAATCTAGGATAGGACACTTGTGTATACACTTGTGTATAACCTATGGGTAGGACACTTGTGTATCACCTAGGGGAGGACACTTTTGTATAACCTAGGGCATGACACTTGTGTATGACCTAAGGCAGGACACTTGTGTAGTGTATGACATAAGGCATGACACTTGTATATAACCTAGGGGTAGGGCAGTTGTGTATAACCTAGGGGTAGTACACTTGTGTATAACTAACCTAGGGGTAGGACACTTGGGTATAACCTAGGTCAGGACACTTGTGTATGTCCTAGCGTAGGACACTTGTGTATCACCTAGGGGAGGACACTTTTGTATAACCTAGGGAAGGACACTTGTGTATGACCTAAGGCAGGACACTTTTGTATAACCTAAAGCATGACACTTGTGTATGACCTAAGGCAGGACACTTTTGCATAACCTAAGGCATGACACTTATGTATAACCTATGGGTAGGACACGTGTGTATAACCTAGGGCGGGACACTTGTGTATAACCCTTTGTTATACACAAGGGTCCGGCCCTAGGTTATACACACGTGTCATGCCTTAGGTTATGCAAAAGTGTCCTGCCTTATGTCACACACAAGTGTCCTGCCCCTAGATTATACACAAGTGTTTGGCCCTAGGTTATCCACAAGTGTCCTACCTTAGGTTATACACAAGAGTCCTACCCCTAGGTTAGTTATACACAAGTGTCCGTCCCTAGGTTATACACAACTGCCCTACCCCTAGGTTCTACACAAGTGTACTATCCTAGGTTATACACTAGTGTATGGGTTTTTGTAATATTTAACAAATTAAGATCAAGTGTATTAGCAAACACGCGTGTGAAAAATACCTAGGTTATACACAAGAGTCCTGCCCTAGGTTATACAGAAGTGTCCTACCCCTAGACATGCTGTCCGGTATTAGTATGTATATAAATATCGGTAATACATGTACATACTAATACCAATATATCAACGTCATAACACCAGACAAAAAATATCACAACGTCATAACACCTAGGGGTAGGACACCTGTGTATAACATAGGGCAGGACACTTGTGTATGTCCTAGCGTAGGACACTTGTGTATATCCTAGAGGACACTTGTGTATAAACAGGACACTTGTGTATAAACAGGACACTTGTGTATAACTTGTGTATAACCTAGAATAGGACACCTGTGTATAACCTAGAGGTAGGACACTTGTGTAGAACCTAGGGGTAGGGCAGTTGTGTATAACCTAGGGACAAACACTTGTGTATAACCTTGGGGTAGGACACTTGTGTATACACTTGTGTATAACCTAGGGGTAGGACACTTGTGTATAACCTAGGGCCGGACACTTGTGTATAACAAAGGGTAGGACACTTGTGTATAACCTAGGTATTTTTCAGACGCGTGTTTGCTAATACACTTGATCATAATTTGTTAAATATTACAAAAACCCATTACACCAGATCAAAACGAGTCTTGAACGTGATTGAAACCTCAGAAGAGTACATCCTTAACACAGGACAAAATATATCACAACGATATTTCTTCCAACCTTCACAGGCGTGTCTCCCGTTTAAACCGGAAATGATCAGATTGTCACTCCCTAGGAGATGATAGCCTCGTGCCGATGAGCACGTGTTCAATTGTGAGGTCATAAATCGTGTCACCGGTAATTGTGACGTCATCAAACGTGAATGACGATATGCATACCCCAAATGTGTTTTCTTTACAAACATTGCAGACTACTGTCGGTGGAGTTGTGACTAAAATAATAGGATGGGAGAAAAAGAATCATCCCCTTCCATGAGGGTGTAACAGAGAAATCTCCAACCCTCGGGGAGATATTTTTGGTTGTCTAACCCTCGAGGCTCTCGGGTTGGATATTTCTCTGTCACAATAAATCACAACGTCATTACACAAGACAAAATATTTAACACCATCCTAACACCAGACAAAATATTTCACACCGTCCTAACACCAGACAAAATATTTCACATCGTCCTAACACCAGACAAAATATTTCACACTGTCCTAACACCAGACAAAATATTTCACACCGTGCTAACACCAGACAAAATATTTCACACCGTGCTAACACCAGACAAAATATTTCACACCGTCATAACATAATGACAAAATATATCACAACGTCATTACAAAATGACAAAATAAATCACAGCGTTATTACACCAGACAAAATATATCAACGTCATAACACCAGACAAAATATATCACAACGTCATAACACAATGACAAAAAATATCACAACGTCATAACACAAGAACAAGATTTCGTTCAATGAAGTACGATCTTGATTGTAAACCGTACGTTTGTCAGATAACTATACTGAAAATAGAGTGTCTGTTATATGGAATCATATGTTTAAGGTTTTATAGAATAAGGTAAAAATACCACGAAAATATTGATGTCTACAAGTGCAGGAAATAAAAAGACATACACGTTGGTGCCAAATTCTTATAACGTCAAGGCAACAATACAACTCACTGTTTAATTGTATTAATATACTTACTTTTTGCAAATATTTGCTAAGATTCAGTGAATAGACAGTACTGTTCTGATTGGTTGATATCATACTTTATTTAGCGCGCATTATGATTTGTTTGCTTGCAAAGCTATGTCATTTAAATAGATCATAAATACCATACAAAAACAGTTCAATACTTATATTTACGTTTTCTATGCCTCTTATGTTCTTTTTTAACTTATAATTTATATTTAAAATTAAAAATGCCCGCCTTATCGACAGTCCACACAATTTCGTTCAATAGTTTGAACAGCGCATTGTCGCGTGCTGATTGGCAAACAAAGTAGTACTTTGAAATTTTAACAAACACTTCAATTTTAATCCACAATTCAGTATCAATAAAATTGCGTATGATATGTCTATAGGGTGATTTAAGTTTATCAATAGAACTCTGAGCTGAAAGTAATATTTGAAATTGTTTCGATTTTTCCCCGGAACAAATTTCGCGCATGGACAAATACAGTGAACACCGTAAATCCGACCTTGCCCTCCACGAGGGAGTTATTTTTGGAAGTTAATTCGAACTTTTCTCTTTGCTCATTTTGTGAAGAATCCAGGCGTGAATGTATTTGTTGATTGTATGGGAACCTGGCAACAGTCGGTAGAATTACAACATCCTCGTTATTTGACATGTCGTCAGAAACTGAGGAATGGTGGATGCGAGACGCGTGAAAGATAGCGTTTGAAGTGAGTGATCTTGCGACGGAGCACAGGTTCGTTACAAATGTCTGAAATGTTTATGTGTGCTGTGACTCATATCAGTAGGTCTGTAACATATGTGTCAGTAGGTCTATATAATATGTGTATTTCAGACATTTGTAACGAACCCCTGTTGATCAGTGCAGTGTAACAGACGATATTTCGGATAAATTGCATGAGCGTTAAAGTTGTTTCCATTGCCGGCATTGGTGATTTCAACGGATGTGCATTTTGTACGATATTGCAGACATTGGTCTTGTATTCGTTGTAATAAAAGTGTTTTTTATTTTATTTTTTATTTTGCACATAAATTTACAATGGCATTGTCAAATCTCACAATGCCCAACGATATTTCAGCAGCCGTCATGTTTATTTATATTGGATATTGTAGTTCCGGTCAGTGTTGTATTAATACGCTAAGAATTGTGTCTGTGATGCATGGTAATTAAAGTCCCATCAACGACACAGCTCTCAAAGAGGCTATATAGTGACAATGCCATGCAAATGTAAATATACATGTGTATTCGATTTTGAAGAGAACATTTTTTATATATTAACTGCAGTGAACTTCACTGAAGATATACGTTTATGTGGGATTTTTCAATAAATTGATTGTTTTGACATTATTATGGAAAATGCATTAGATACAAACTTATACTTATATCATATAACGTGTTGATAAATATCAGTATTGCATATACATACTAATATCGGACAGCATGTTTATAAATATCGGTAATACATGTATATACTAATACCGGACAGCATGTTTATAAATATCGGTAATACATGTACATACTAATACCGGACAGCATGTTTATAAATATCGGTAATACATGTACATACTAATACCGGACAGCATGTTTATAAATATCGGTAATACATGTACATACTAATACCGGACAGCATGTTTATAAATATCGGTAATACATATACATACTAATATCGGACAGCATGATTTGCTATCACAGATAACACTCCAATCGTGATGATGGTCCTAAGCATTGTCATCCACTGCATTTTGGTCTTTTGTGACGAAAACAGACGTGGCTGATCGGGTGACCAAGTGTGTTAGACTGCCCCTGTATTGGTGTAAGTATTGCCTAGTTAGCTTTGTTAACTTAACAAAACCAATTAAATAAATCAATTCAAAATATACATTTAATATTTAATATAATTTCCATGTAAGACTTCGTGAAATTCATATATGAAAAAAACTGACAATGTCCTAAAATTTATAATCAACTACTAAAAGAAGCCTCCATGTAAATAAACACGTGTATAACAAGCTAACAAGTTGATACACAGTTCACTGTTTTAGGGTCTTATCACGCCCTACTCAGTCGGCAGTGCGGCCTCAAGCATAGGGGTCAAAGGTCAGAGCCGATTCGGACTGAAGATTAAGATATCTTTTCTCGTCATTAAATTATACCTTGAATTTTGACTCCATCGCGCATTGTTATTTGTTTATTTCATATTTTTTTTTAACATTTTCCGTATATATTGTTCTTTGAAAGAGTAAAAAATATATTTGGCAAGCTACTCGCCTCTTTTGCAATTTGTGCATTGCAAAGCATGGATTAAAAATGCAATTAAGATGATGAATTTTGATTAATACTTATAGTAATACTCTCCTTACTACAGGTCACTAACCTGCAGATAATAATCATGGTAGGTGAACAGTTACATAATTTAGTTTGAAAACGTTCTGTTGCATAATTTCTTTTTAACAGAAATCGTTTATAATATTCATCTCAAAACTATTCCTAACTACCGGCTATGTCTGACAAGTACTGGTTATTTGTGATAACTACCAGTTACGTCCAATGATATCCGGTAATGTTCGATAACTTTAAACATATTCTATTGCCAATACAATTGAACGAGGGATTGGGCACAAGTTATTACAACATATCACAGCCTTCTCCCGTCATACATTTACAATTACATGACAACAATGATAATAGGCATAAACATGAAGTAGAAATATATAATATTCACACAGGTACGAATACACGATATAAAAAAACACCGTTCAAAATCTATTGGTGTATTTAATGAAGTGATGCACATGTCTAAAATCGTAAAAGTAAAAAGTCCACCGAAATATCTGAGCTACCAAACAAAAAAAGCTCTAAGTTTAAGTCTATTCTTAAGGCATTCAAATTTTGAAACAAAATACGCCTTGCATTGCAAAAACGTTGACACTCAAAAGAAAAAGTGAAAGTCATTCCCCCATGGATGTCCACAGATACGAACTGGACTTTCGACAAGATTAACTCTGTAATGGTCATACTTAAGGGAACTACACTTGTACCTCAGTTTAGTATGTATACTATTCAATTTACGTTCTACAAAACTGAAGTAGATAGGAGGGGATGGTTGTACATTTAAAGTAAGACATATTTTAAATAAATGTATAGAAGGCAACGATCGTACTAGTAGATCTAACGAGTCCCAGCTACGAAGAATGGACGGTATAAAGGAGAGATTTGTAAGAGAAAACCCAAATAGAGGAACTCTATAGTCACTGTTATTTCTAAAAGTGTACCTGTTATTTTCCGCAATAGTGGGTGGCAGGGAATCGTTTTTATAATACGGAGTTAACTTGTTGTGCATTTTATATGAAAAGTTGAGGATTTCTACGTTTTTGACGATTTGGAAGACTTTCTAAACTTGTTTCAAAATGTAGATCTTTGATGGAAGGCCGGATATATTACGAGCGACTTCTCATCTGGCTTTCTCTAACTTTTCTAATTCAATTTTAGAACAACCATGCCGTAATTCACAAGCATATTCTAAAACAGGCAAAATGAATGATTTATAAATTTTTAAAAGACTATTTCTAATTCGCAAATATTTCAATCTTTGTAAGACGTTAATTTTCTTCATAACAGAACTACAAATGGCATTAATATGATCCCCCCCCCCACACACACACACTTTGCGTTTGAATTACAAACTAATCCCAGGTGCTTATGATGATCTGTAAATTTTTTACTATTTTCCATTAAATTTTTTAATTCTAAATCTTCATCTATGTCAATAAAATTAGAAATAAATATTTTCTCGGTTTCGTCTGGGTTAAATGTTACAGTACAAACCAAGTTTTTGACCATAACTTTAAAGACTCAAGATTCGTTTTTAATACTGTTTGGATTTCAAGACAAGAAAAAAGTAGACTGTAATAAAGAGGTATCATCTGCAAAAAGACTAGCAACTGATTCAAAGACATCGGCAATATCATTAATGTATATTAAAAACAAAAGCGGTCCAAAAATGGAAATTTGAGGAAGCTCTGCTTCGTTAAAACCTTATTGAAAATAAGAATTATTTAAGTAAATTTTCTGTTGCCTACAAAAACATAATTTTCTAACACATTAAGAATTCCGTAAGATTTTACCTTTACCATGAAACCTTTATGCCAAACCCGATCAAAAGCCATGAGAATATAACAGAATACCATCTATGCGTGTTTTCCCCTCAAAAGCAATACAAATGTTGTGATAAATTTCAATGAGCTGATATACAGTAGAATGAGCACGCATAAAACCAGAGTGGTGCTTATAAAACAATGAGTCTCCGAAATAATTATGTAGGTGTTTTAAGATTACTCGCTTACTATCTTTTCAATAGTAGATAAAAGAGAAAACGGCCAACAGGTAGAAGGAGAATGTCTATCACCTTTTTAAACAGTGGCATGACTTTGTCTTTTTTCCAAGTGGCTGGAAAAATACCTGTCAATAAAGACATATTTAAAATAATTTTAAGTGGAATATAAACAGACTGTGAGGTATTTCCGAGGCCCTTCCGAGCTTCAATATCTGTAGAACGTCTTAAATTTCATTATTGTTTACTCTAATAGAACTAAACAGTTTGATAGTTTTTGGCTCAATAATATGTTACAGTGTTACTATCATCCACTCGTGTAATATTTAAAAAATGGTCTTTTAATGATTAAAATTTGTCTTCGTCATAAGTAACAACACTGTTATTATGAGGATCTACAAGAGTGGGTATATATTGTGAAGTACCAGTTGATTTCATTAGCAGTTCAATAACTATCCAAGAAGATTTTGGATCAGAGGACGATTACTCTTCAAATATACCTTGAACATTTTTATAAAATATAAAACGGGAACTTTTTCTAATGTTGTTAACCTGATTGCGTTGAGACTTAAATTAAAAAAATCTGAAAGAAGCTTGGTTGACATCGTGACAACCAATCTCTAGTTCTCATTTTTTTCTGAATTCGGAGGTCATCCAAGGTTTGTCATTTGGTCTTAAAGTGACTACTTTAGATGGAATACATACATTTGCAAAATTCAGAAAAAACTCCGTAAAACGTTTACGGGCAATATCAACTGAGTCGCGAGTTAGGAAAAGATCGTTCAAATCATAATTAGAAACAAGTACTAATTGTAATGGGGGACCATTACAGAATTCCCTCAAACTATCCCCATAGTCGCAAAGATGCAAAAGAGGTGTCAGGGTAGAGTTGATAGTGCCATTATATACTTTAATATCAAGCTTAAGCAATATCAGAAAAAGAGAGGGGCACATGGCATCACATTGACGTACACCTTTAAATGTGTTAATATATCAGAGGCTGCAGCGGCAATCTTGGATGCTCAGCTAAAAAAAAAAAGCTAGACATCTAGGTATATGCATCAATACTCATGTGAAGTTTCATTGGAATCCAATGTATACTTTCTGAGAAAACGCACAGAACATACTTGTCATGATATACATAGCACTGCCGATAACACGTTAAGCTACTTAAATATCTATAGCACTAAGTGACATATCTGTGTATGTGTGAAGTTATGAGATATCGTCCTCTTAGCATCTGTATGTGTGAAGTTATGACATACCGTCCTCTTGGCCTCTGTATGTGTGAAGTTATGACATATCGTCCTCTTGGCCTCTATATGCGTGAAGTTATGACATACCGTCCTCTTGGCCTCTGTATGTGTGAAGTTATGACATATCGTCCTCTTGGCCTCT